TTCAGAGCAATGCAAGACACATGCTCATTTAGCGATAGCCTATTTTTAAAATATAGGCTGGGGATTTAGCTCAGCGGCATAAGCTCCTGCCTTGCAAGCAGGCAGTCTTGAGTTCGATCCCCGGTACTGATAAAAAGGAAAAAGACAACAACAACAAAAAAACCCCAAAATATAAAACTGATCGTGGCATTCTCTTGTTTGGAAAAACTTTGGCAGATCTCCAGATGGTAAGTGTGCCTGTTGAAAATATGGATCCAGGACTTTATCTTTAAGGGCCATAAGTGTGCACGTGGAGATGTCTTCTAGAGGTGGATCTCAGTTTATACTTGGAGATACGCTGGCTTATGGCATGAAGCCAATCTTTCTCATAATACACAAGACCACTTTGCTCTGTCTTCCATGAGTTGTTTCCTTGCTTCCTGTTCCCTACCTCTTTGGCCACCACAAATGTTCATATTGTTACTGTGCCCCAAATATATTGTATCCTTTCATTCCTCCACGTCCTCGCTGTGTGTGTCATCTCCTCTGCTGGAAATGCCTTTGACCCTCTTTTCTTCCTTGTTGAAATGGCTGGCATATAGTCGTTACATCATAAATGCCCAGAGAATGTGGGAAGAGAATGAATGAAAGAATAATAGTTTACTTTTTCAGTGCACAGAGTGTTTGGGGCAATTGCTATGCAGAGTTTTAGGGAAGCCAGTAAACAAATTATTATTGGGCCGGGGCTTAGTTCAGTGGTACAAGCATCTACCTGGCAAGCACAAAGTCACAAGTTCAATTCCTGATACCAAAAGAAAAAGAAACATTATTATTTGGTTGCACATTCTCTACAACAGTGATGGCGAACCATTTAGAGACGAGTGTCCAACCTGCAACCCAAAACCATTATTTATCACAAGTGCCAACACTGCAATTAAACCTGAACACTGAGGTTTTAATTGAGAAAAAAGACAACTTAGACCTTAACACCTTTAGGTACATAATTTATATACCCAAAACAAATGTCTTAAAAGAAATGCAAGTAATTTATGGACCACCGAGGTTTACCACCCTGCTCTACAATACTCAGAGCCTAGAATGGGAAAAAGATGTGGTAGGTTATTCTAAGTGGGCTCTGAAACATCAAAGAGCACTGAATTAACATTACATGTTCAACATTATGTGGAAACATTGACCGAAGAACTGAGCTCCTACTTTGGGGTGGTTTGGGTTGTAAATGACTGTGGGAGGGCCTTGGAATAGAAGTGCCAATGCCAATGTAAATAACTGCCTTTGCAGTATGCTTTTCATTTATAAAACATGGTGATGGATGATCACTATGTTTCCTGCTTTCCTGGAAGTACATCTGATGATGGTGCAAAGGCTGTGTGTCACACGGAGTGCTGGCTCCCAAAAACTAAATGCACTGCAAAATCTCTAATGATTCTTTGCCACTTGCACAGCATTCAATATATATGCCACTAATTCCTTCGTTAAGCTTTCTACAAATATAGTTATTTCCTTCTCATTTAAACAATTGTTGATCTATTTGAGTTCAGTAAATGTGTGATTCAGACTAAAGATTTGCCACTGTCGATGTATGGTAACTTCCATTTTTGTATGATTTAGGTCAAGTTTATCAGGAAGATGTTTCTTCTGATTTCTATTAGGCTTTGAATTTTTCCACTTCCCATTTCTTTTTGTTGTTGTGATAAGGAAAATTTGCAAAAACATTTGAGTCAATGAATGAATAATTTCTAGGATAATGACAAAGATGCTGCTGCTGCCAAAATTGAACAACTCGGCTCATGGACAGCTCTGCCACCAACTGAACAAGAAGCAATGTCCATTCATCAGCTACTGTATGGAAGCCTCTGTTTCACAGGGCAGGAGATGGCAGTATCAATAAATGCAGCACAAAGTCCAGATGGTGTGGCTCCAAACACAGCCACATGAAGGGTTGTCTGTACTCTCAGGTTCTCAGGGGTATGCACCCAGTGTTTAGTTTTAAACCATAGCTTAGCCTTAAGAATTAATGTGAGTTCTGGTGATTTGCTGTCTTTTATAATTCTGTTTCTTTTTCGGTACCGGGGATAGAACTCACGACTGCATGCTTGCAAGGCAGACAGGCAGGCAGGCACTTATGCCACTGAGCTAAATCCCCAGCCCCTACAATTCCGTATCTAAGGTAAATCTTTACAGCTGCGCACAGAGGCACAGGCCTGTAATCTCAGTTCTCTGGGAGACTGAGGCAGGAAGATTGAAAATTTAAGGCTAGTCTGGGCAGTTTAGCAATTTAGCTCTGCCCTATGTCAACATAAAAAATGAGAGAAGGATGGGCTTGTAGCTTGATGTGAAGGCCCTGGGTTCAGACTGCAGTACCAAAACAAACAAACAGCGAAGTTTTCTACCTTAGTGGCGCTTGCATGCTTTTCAGCATGGACTGCTGCGTGTCTTGTGACTGGTCTAAGAAGCTCTTCATACATTGTCATCCATTTTATGTGAATTTCCCCAATTTTTTTATGGATTGCTTCATTGTTTAATATTTTTCACTGTAATCATTGTAGAGGATTAATTGGGAACACTTAGCAGAAGCATTTCTTATACTATAAGGAAAAAAATAATAAGATACAAGCCAATATCGCTGTACTTCTTAGGACTTCCTACGTGGACCCACAGTGGCTATGTGGATGGGACTCAGGGCTGCATTCTCTGTGTCATTAGCCCATGTGAAAGTGTGAATGTGATATTATATCCTGTTATTATCCCTATTCACCTCTACGGATTTCCTCTCCTGCTTCATTTCTAGTGATTTATTCTCCTAGATAAAGAAACTCTGTAAAGCATTAACCACCTCAACTTCCTACTCAGAAGGCATAAATCATACTCTTCCCACTTCTAAGACAATAGTATTTCAGTGTAGAAGCTCGTTAGCTTCCTATGTGGGATAATAATGTCTAGTAAGAAGTCTTATCTTTGGGAGCAAAGAGGTTCATGGTCCGGGCTGCCTGAGCACTTTGTCATTAACATAGTGTCCAACCCAGGTGAGCAGCAAGGATTTAGCTGATAGACAGCAGTCTCAGAGACTGTGGTATTTCTGGCAAACACTTCTGTTTGTCTTTACAAATAATTATGGGTCACAAATTTAACATTAAAGCACAAGAACTATGAAACCTTTGTTTTGAGCCCAGGGATTAATCCTACAATCAAAACAAACAAGAAAAAATATAAATCTCGATTTCCATTGATATCTTGAGGAAAGTATTTTTCTGTTTTCAAGAAATTTGGATGAGGAATTGGTGGCAGGATGAAACTTTGGTTCCTTTAAAAATGTGACTGCCATCAGGAGCAGTGATATACCCTTGTATTTCCAGCTACTCAAGAGCCTGTTGCACAAAGATCACAAATTTGAAGCTTGGGCAAGTTGGTGAACACCTGTCTCAAAACAAAATGGTACAAATGGGTGGGGATATAAATGTGGTGGTAGGTATCCACCTCTGGGCTCAATCCTTGGCACTGCAAAAAAAAAAAGGGTCTGATCAGTTTTGTTCCATCAAATATTTATTAGGTATATAGAGCAGAGCAATAAATACTATGGGTAATTATTAAGAAGTTCTTGCCTTTAAAAAAAGAAGTCTAGCTGGGTGTGGTGGTGCATACCTGTAATCTCAGCCCTCAGGAGGCTGTGGCAGGAAGATCACCAAGTCCTCAAGGCCAGCCTGGAATAGAGTTTAAGACCAGTCTGTAACACAGTAAGACTTTTTTGTCAGAACAACAAACAGGGCCAGGGATTTAGCTCAGTGGCATAAGCACCTGCCTGGCAAGCTCAGGAGTTCAATCCTCGGTACCAAAAATCAAAAAACGAACCAAAGCAAAAAAGTTACAACAAACAAAATGATGACAGGTAATACCTGATCACTTAAGGCTGGGTGTAGTAGGATCCAATGGATGGTACTGAGGGCTCACTTCAGGTGGGGCTCTGTGAGCTCATCAGAGATGTCATGGTACCATGGCAAAGGGAATTTGAAGGGATGGGGCATCCGAGGCAAGGGAACAGGCTCAGCAAACACAGGGGCTGTTGGACTGGGTCTTGCTTAGCTCTATATGCATTAATGAAACTCTTCATAGTATGTTGCTATTATTGTATTATATAAATCAGATGTGGGTTGGGGCATCTTACTGAAAGTCAAGTAAAAATTGGTGAGAGTCCTCCATCCTACCACTGTGAGAAGATGTTTTATTCCTTCTAATCACAATGAAATTCTTAGGCATAGACGTGGGGACAGGACTCATGTATTTTTCTAGTGTCATTTGACGCTAAATTTATGTTTATCCCTAAGAAGCTTAAAGATAATCTTACCACCACTGCTGTACTGTCTCTTTTAGCATGAAGCCCCCCACCCCAGCATCAGTGTCACTGTGATTCCTTCACTTTGTAAAATGCATATCTCATGTCTAAGATTTGAGACTATGAATAAGCTCCAATCATAAAAGTCAAAGCCAAATGTGAAGCCTACTTGTTTTTGAAAAGCTCTTCCTTCCATTAGTACTTTCTCACCATTCCCTTCCCTGAAAATCTCTACCAGATTGCTCCAGGGGCCCCCTCCTACTCTCCCTGCACCCCTGCTTCTGCTCATGGTGACCTGCTTTCCAAGTTTGCCAACTTTGGAACCACCATTAACTTTTAAAAAAGGTTCCTGCCTCCTTTCCCACATAGGCTCATCTTATTTTCACCTGTCTTCTTCCTGAGTGATTTTTGCCTCCCATAGAAAGAAGGGTCATCATGGTGTGAAGTCCTTTCAGTACGGCCCTTGCCTGTAGTTCATCCCCTACTCAGAGGTGCAAAGTCTGAGCTTTAGTAAGGTGGGACACTCTTGAGGGTTCTCTTTAGCCTATGTTGCCTAACTTCTAAGGCATGAGAGTCACTTGCAAATACTGGTGTTTGTCTGAATGTTGATTTAGTAAGTGGTTGGGCTCCAGGTTGTGTATTTCTAACAAGGTGTGGCGATGCAGGTGGTCCATGAGGGCATAAGAATCCTTGTCAGGAGTATAGCACCCCCTTCAAAAAGTGTGTCTTGTAAAAAATTTTAGTAACTTGGCCAGAATGGGTCATGGAGAATAGCTGGCCTGTGGGAACCCATGCCTTTCGTCCCTGCTTGCAGGGACAATGGCTGAAATGCAACTCTGTTCATGTGACAGCCAGAGAAAGGGGCTCATTGTTCCAGGGTTGGCTGATGCTTCCCCAGGCTCTGGCCAGCCATCCCGCTGAGCTTGGTAGACCCAAGGAAACAGACACACTTGAATCAGAGAGACAAAGAAAGGAGGTCAAGGCCTTCTGAGTTAAACTGCTTGCAGCAGTGTGTCAGAGGTAGGATTTGGGGAGGGAAATAGCAATTCCTTGGAAGCGTCATTAATCTGCTGGTTTTGGAGCTGCAGACACTGGTGTTAGAGAATCACGTCTGTTAGAATGCCGGTAGGTTTTGGCTCACAGAGAAACTGTTTTCTCCGATGTGTGCCACTGACTTAACTGATTGCATTTATTATTGATTTTTCAAAGTGAAGAAAATATCTTCTGTCTGTGATAGGCAAAGACACACATCTCAGCCAGGCATCTGTGGGGAAGGACGGCCAAAATCAAGGCTGACCACCTCTGAGAAAATTCCTTTGCTTTGGGTAATGCTTGCTGTGTTTGTGAAGTATTAATAACTCCCTCTCAAATTTATATTCAGAGGCCAGTTTTAAAGTTAAGAATTTTTTGAAATATATTTAAGTTCCTTTAAAAGTGACTGATATATTTGGATAGTTACGAGGTTGGAGGAGTCTCTAGATATCACTTAATACCACTCGGCACTTCCAACTTCTACAATTGAATTCTAACCCTGCAGGGAAAGAGTTGCAAACTTCCTGTGACGATCTAATCACGAGCTCAATAATTGTGTACAGTTTTTGTGTCGGAAGAAGATTCAAAGTCAAGGTCATGCCCTTTGCAAGGCATGCCGCATTGTTCCTTTAGCCTGATTGCTCCCTTTATGGAAAATATGTCATTCATTCAGACTTTGCCTCTGGGTTCCTTTTAGAGAGAGACTTAGTCCCTAGTTCCTGTGGATATTTGTAGGTGGCTTTTCCTGTTAAAAATATTGGGCATATAATAGGAACTTGCGGGAAGCAGAACAGGGGAAGCCTTTCCTGGGGGGAATGGGGTCTGGGGAGTTCACTTAAGCGTCCAGGCAGCTGGTGCTTGTGGGCCAGTGGGGACCCTTTTGTCTGTGAGATAAGAGGTTTCCTGACTGGGAGTGTTTTATTTAAGTTGGTTTGTGTACCAGAGAAGGCGATATATAATTTGCCTGAAGTTACTTAGAGCTTCTTGTAATTAAGTCTGTCCTTGTTCCTTGATTATAGATTATCATTGTAAATCCATTAAAGAGGGAGGTGTAAGTGCATTGCAGAGGTAAGTGGTTGCACTTTCCTCATTAGCCTTCCATTGCCTCCTCCCTTGCAATCTGTTTATCCTGTATTAAGTAGCTATTTGGCCTTGTCAGTGGTACAATGCCTTTGAGGTGGAGAAGGGAAAGAGGCGACTTCACAGGTGGCAAAAGGGTTGTGTTAAATAAACACTCCCCTGATTAGTTGGTTAATTTTGAACTCATTGTCAGCAGGCTTGCTCATTTGGCCCTGTGTGACTTAGTCTTACCCCTTGGTACTGTGAGGAACAAGTGCATGCTGTTTTTGAAGTTTTGCCTAGGTATAGTGTTTGTTGTATATGTGTGTTGATTTATGACATTGTACGCTTTAAATATTTGCAGTTTTTTTTATTAGTCAGTTATATGTCAATAAACTTAGAACTATCCAAGGCTATTGTGGCCTAATGTCAGAGTTCCAAGTTATAGACAATGGAGTTTTCATTTGGACATTGTTTTATTTTTTACTTATTTTATTTTTATTTTAAAAATATTTTTAGAGGAAAAAAACACAGAAAAACAAAAAACAAAACCCAAACAACAATAACAACAGCCCCTCCGCCCCCAAATAGCAATTAGGATTTCAAGACAAGGTGATAGGAATTTAATAATAGTTGTCATATTACATACTGTTAGCTTCAGAAGCGTTGCTCAGATTACCAGATAACAGGCATACAAAATGATTAAACAATATGAGCACTAACTGTTCTTTCCTTGAGCTAATAGAATTATCTTAGCTATCATACATATTTATGTTTTTTTTCTTTCCTTTTTTCCTCCTTTTTTCTTCCCCATGTATAGTACTTTAAAATATTTCTTGCAATTTGTTATGGGATGTATCATAGAAAAGTCTCAGCTTGTATGATACTTGACAAATATTGGCCTTGGAAAATTCTGTTTTCTTAATGTTTTTGTGTAGCAATTTGGAGAACTTGGGGACTAGTCCAAAGATGAACCTTTGTTTTACTTGAGTAATCTTTACTCTTAAGCTTAAAAAAAAACAGGCTGGATATTTAGCTCAGTGGCTTGCCCAGCAAGCATAAGGTTGTGAGTTCAATCCCTGATACCAAAAACCAAAACCAAAACCCAAACCAAAACAAAAATTAGAAAAAGCAGCATATTTTATTTTACTTGGAAGGAATTGCATGAATTAATGGATACAAAGTTTCTTGTGAAATTTTTGTGGGTGTTAGCATCACATTTATTCATGAAAAAGGTGAGAAATATAATATGGTGGACCAGAGTGACACATTATTTACCATTTCATTGTGCTCAGTGACACAGCTTCGGTAATTTTTCATTAATGCTATTCGCAAATCTTACCTTTTCTTGGTGTAACTGAAGCATTCTAGGAAAAACCATTTATGTTAAAGGTGACAGCACTGTCTGTTTTGGAACATGTACTTGGCAAGGAATTCATTAGCCAGTTAAATGTTTATGTCACTGTCACATTGCAGTTGCTAACTTTTTTGTTTCTGCTTGTGGGAATAACACAAGCTATTAGACATTAATAGGCAGCATGTAACTTCTTATAACTTTTCCTAAAATTAGATGATCTGAAAGAAACACCAGCCATTATTTCCAAGGATAACTTAGCACTGCTGTATTCTTGATACAAGCTTAAATGGGCATGAGTTCAGAGGTAACTAGAAATACCTGTATCAACAACAGGAAAACTGTTTATCAATGCAGAAAACAACTGGAGCTTCTTATGAGAAAGAAAATTAATAAATAACCTACTGAGGAGTTGAGAATACACACACACACATATATTGCATATATATTTGTCACATGTATATGTTTGAGAAGGAAAAGTATTTAGAGGGATAACAAAGTTAGCAGGAAAAGTGAGAGGTTTGTGTATAAATAAAAATGAGATTCAAGGAAGCTGAAACAAAGGTGTCAGAAGGATAAATGTAAGTACTACCATTCAGCAAGAATTAGTGCTATAGGCAAAACAAAACAAGAATATCAACCTATCCTCAAGATTAAGGCAGACTGGAAATGTCAACCTCTACAAGGAATATAAGAAGAGGTGTAATTATGGGAGAATTGATTATCAATTTTAAATGGCAGTGACACGCCGGAGTGGAAATCTTGGAGAGAGCTGGAGAGAAGTTTCGCAGCCATTCAGATCGCCCATCCCAGAAATGGACGTCCTGGAGCACAGCGAGGCTCCGTGGATTGCCTAGGGAGTGAGGCTCTCGGGACCTCTCTCTGTGTTTCTTGGACTGTGTTGCATACCGAGGTGCCTTGTCAGTGCCTCATGGACAATAAGTGAAAGAGGAGAGATTATACTTAAAGGATGGAGTACAGAAGTTTGAAGCAGGTTCGAGGAAATATTTTAGAATCAGGTTCTAAGGATGGAAGACATCAAGAAAGAGACATTTGGGAAAGAATTGGCTAAAACCTCAAACAGAAAGACTGTGTACCTGCAGGATCTGTATGGAAGTTCCCAGGGCACTAAAGTCCTAAGTAACGCTCGGAGTTTGGGTGACGCCAGTTCCTGGTACCATGGTGATGGTGCTCCATGTTCCTATAATACACCTAAGAAACTTAAAGTGGTCCTGTGACAGACTTGGGGTCTCTGTTGGGTCAGATGTGTCAATTTGCCTTGATCACTCTGACTGGATATTTGAAAATTAGCTTGGTAAACTTGGGGAGTCCAATTGAAACCTCAAATAATGTCAGAAAAGGCTTGGGACATAGTTAGTTGCTAATCTGGTTAGAAGCCAGCCCTGCTGTTTTGAGAATCTGAAGGCTTCTTAGGGGGATGTGGGGATGATGATGGTAGTTAAGAGATAGTGAGTTCAGGGGTTGATCCCGACTCTTCAGGGACTGTGTAGGACAACTATGTCTACTTGTGGGTTGCAGAGTATCTTCTACAGCCTCAAGTGACTCTCTCTGTGAGTGTGGCTGAAGGGGAGCTTCCTGTGCTTCTTAGCATTTCTCTGCAGCCTTCTGGGCTAGCTCACCTGTTTTATCCAACAGAGCCTTTTCTCTTGCCTCGAGAGAGTGTCTGAGAGTGCCTGTGAAGCGCACTGCTTAATGAGATTTGGGAGGCTCAAGGAACTGATGAGGGCTGGTTTCAAGGGTTTATTAAAGAGTTGCTTCCGGGAGCAGTATGCCAAGTGGTTAGTGCATTCGCACTGCACTTTGACACCCTCTAGCTCTGTGATCTTGGGCAACTATTACTTCTGTGATCTCTGAATTTCAGTTTCTCCACTTGTCAAATGGATATAATAAAATAGCCTCCCTTGTGGAACTCCAGAGATTATTAAATTAGGTAATGTAACATTGTAGGAGAACACACTGGGAAAAATTTGTTCAATTCAAATCTTACTGTTGTCATATCTGTTGAGTGAGGGTCTGTACTTGATGGGTCCTTTGGCATTCTGAGTCCTGGGGTGCAGTAGATGTTAAGTAGTGACTTGGTTTCTCAAAATATAACAAGAGGATCTTTCCAAGATTCACTACTTAGCTTGTTGTTGTTTTTTGTGGCTGAGACAAGATACCTGACACTTTCATCTTAAAGAGGAGAGGTTTAATTTGACTCACAGCTTCGAAGGTTTTGGTCCATGATCAGCTGGCTGCAAGACACAAACATCATGACAAAAGAGCACAGTGGAGCAGAACTGTTCACATAATGGCAGCTGGGATTCAGAGGACAGGGTAAGCATGGTAGACAAGGGCCGGGGAGAGATATATACCCCAGGGTCACACCTCCATACCCCACCTAGAGGAGCTGTTTACTAAGTAGGTAGGCAGTTCCCAAGCCAATGAAACTGGCAGTTAAGCATAATCATCACATCAGCCTCAAGGACACCCAGTAACTCAAATCTGCATGAATTCAGAAGGAAAGAAGAACATGGCCATGGAAGGTGAACTCAGCTCCACCTTCAAGGAAGTGAAGTCTGTGTACCCTGGAGGCTGTGAACTCTGGTGTTCTGATCCCAAGCATTACTTTACCATAAGTCCAGGTGTGGAGCTTTCTGAGTCTGGGTACCAGCAGGAA